ATATAGGAAAATGTTTTACGCGGCACCAAACGTTAAAAAAGTACTAGGAACTTTGTTTTTGTAAATAAAAATGTTATAATTATTGAAAAACAACACCTAAAGTGCATTATGATCATGATGATTTAAATAACGTGCAGTTTGCCCCAAAACGTGTGGACCCTAGCGTATGTCTTAGAGATCTCTATGCGGTACGCAATGTGTTAAAAGTGCAGGCACGCCAAAACCGGTTTAGCTCAGTGGATAGAGCGTCGGCCTGTGGACTGAAAGGTCCCAGGTTCGATTCCGGTCAAGGGCATGTACCTGGGTTGCGGGCACATCCCCAGTAGGAGGTGTGCAGGAGGCAGCTGGTCGATGTTTCTCTCTCATCGATGTTTCCAACTCTCTATCTCTCTCCCTTCCTTTCTGTAAAAAATCAATAAAATATATATTTTTTTAAAAAAAGTGCGGGCACAAACCAGCAGTCGGATATTCCCGAGTGGTCCCAGATTGGTGCAATTTGCCCAAAAACGTGCAGTCCCTGGCGTATGTCTTAGAGATCTCTATGCGGTACGCAATGTGTTAAAAGTGCAGGCACGCCAAAACCGGTTTAGCTCAGTGGATAGAGCGTCGGCCTGTGGACTGAAAGGTCCCAGGTTCGATTCCGGTCAAGGGCATGTACCTGGGTTGCGGGCACATCCCCAGTAGGAGGTGTGCAGGAGGCAGCTGGTCGATGTTTCTCTCTCATCGATGTTTCCAACTCTCTATCTCTCTCCCTTCCTTTCTGTAAAAAATCAATAAAATATATATTTTTTTAAAAAAAGTGCGGGCACAAACCAGCAGTCGGATATTCCCGAGTAGTCCTGGATTGGAGAGGGTGCAGGCCAGACTGAGGGTTTCCCCTGCTCCGTGCACGAATTTCATGCACTGGGCCTCTAGTTATATATATCAGCCAAGATATGAAAGGAACCCAAGTGCCTATCAATAAACAAGTGGATTAAAAATTGTGGTACATATCTACCATGAAATATTACTCAGCCATAAAAAAGATTAAAATCTTCCCATTTGTAACAGCATGGATCTAGAGCAGGGGTTCTCAAACTTTTTAAACAGGGAGCCAGTTCACTGTCCCTCAGACCGTTGGAGGGCTGGACTATAGTTTAAAAAAAAACTATGAACAAATTCCTATGCACACTGCACATATCTTATTTTGAAGTAAAAAAACAAAACGGGAACAAATACAGTATTTGTATTTGCATGTGGCCCACGGGCCGTAGTTTGAGGACCCCTAATCTAGAGGGTATTATGCTAACTGAAATAAGTCAGTCAGTGAAAGATTAATACCATATGATTTCACTTATATGTGGAATCGAAAGAACAAAATAAATGAACAAACAAAATTGAAATAGACTCATAGTAGACACAGAGAGCAGACGGATGGGTGCCAGAAGAGAGGAGGGTTGGGGGCTGGATGAAAAAGGTAAAGGGATAAAGAAGTACAGATTGGACCCGGCCAGTGTTGCTCAATGGTTGAGCATCAACCTATGAACTATGAGGTCACGGTTTGATTCCTGGTCAGGGTACATGCCCGGTTGTAGGCTCAATCCCCAGTGTGGGGTGTGCAGGAGGCAGCTGATCAATGATTCTCTCTCATCATTGATGTTTCTAGCTCTCTCTCCCTCTCCCTTCCTCTCTGAAATCAGTAAAGACATTTTTTTTAAAAGGAAGTCCAGATTGGTAGTTATAAAATAGTCACTAGGGGTGTAAAGTACAGCATAGGGAATTATAGTCAATATTGTAATAACTGTGTACTGTGCCAGGTGAAGAGTGGAAATACCAAGGGGAAGACTTTGTGAAGTATATGATTATCTAACCACTATGCTGTACACCTGAAACTAATACAAAATAATATTAAGTGTAAACTGTAATTGAAAAATAAAATTTTGTCATTTCAGCAAAAAAAGAAAAGAAAAGAAATGCAGAGAACATTAGGCAGTAGTGGCAGAAAGTTAAGCTAAAGGAATATGAAGACTGAAATTCTGAGGTTAAAATGGTCTGGCCCTAGCCAGAGAAAAGCATCTGGAAATCCAATGTGGTTCAGTTTGCTGGGCTACATCCTGTAGCCAAAAGGCTACAGGTTCAATTCCCGGTCACGGCACATGTCCGGGTGCGGGCTCAGGCCCTGGCAGGGGAAATGCAGGAGGCAGCTGAGTGATGTTCTGCTCTCACATCGATGTTTCTTTCTCTGTCCCTCGCTCTCTAAAAAATCAATAAAAAAACTTAAAAAAAAAAAAGTCAGGGCTGTTAACCTGGTCACATGAACAGGTACAGGCAAGGCCCTGTGAGCCCAGGCTGCTCTGGTTCTAAAGCAGAATTTGAACTGACTCCCACTCCTGAGGCCCTGACATAGCTCAGTTCTTCCCATCCTTGAACTTTTGTAAAATGTTTTCCTTATTACACCATGTTTATTCTTTAACTGATTCCCTCTTTCACGAAATATCTTAATTCCTACCACCAGAAGAACCTAATTAGAACACTTTGATTTTGCACCCACCTTGAAATGTTTCTTTTTGTTTTGTTTTGTCTTGTTTTAAATATGTTTTTATTGATTTCAGAGAGGAAGGGAGAGGGAGAGAGAGACAGAAATATCAATGATGAGAGAGAATCGCCAATCGGCAGATTCTCTTACACACCCCCTACTGGGGATTGAGCCAGCAACCCAGGTATGTGCCCTGACCAGGAATCTCAACCACTGAGGACACCGACCAGGCTTGAAATCTGTTTTACATAATCACACATCACTCAGAAAAAAAAAATCCAACTCCAAAAATGTTCATGGATAATGCAGATTTTACTGAGTTTCATGAGCACACAGAGGAGAGTTACATTGAATCCCCCACAGCAAAATTTCCTTTAAAAATCCCCTTTGTCAACTTTATCTTTCTCCAAATCCCCTTGCTCAGCTACCTCAACACTGCTTTCTTTCCATTTCTTCCACAGCCTCCCACCTTTATAAATTCTCTCAACAAAACTAAGGATACACACAAGAACCCACAGCAAAACAACACTCAGTGCTTTTGATCATTTTCTAGGCACACCCCAGTAATCCAGCCATTCCCAACTACGGAAGCTGAGCCCCAGGGTAGTGAAGAGATTTGCCCAAAGTCCCCTATAAGTTAGAGATACATGTCCTATGCTAGTATTCTTCCCATCACACTGTGCTGCTTCAAAACACCTCACTCACAGGCAATGCAAAAGGGAGCTGCAATGGAATGCAACAGGCTCAGCCCCGCCGGTGCGGCTCAGTGGTTGAGCATCGACCCATGAACCAAGAGGTCACCAGTTCGATTCCCAGTCGCTTCTATCTCTCTATCCCTCTCCCATCCCCTCACTCTAAAATCAATGAAAATGTATCTTAAAAACAGAAGAAAACAGGCTCCAAACTCGAGTGGGTCGATGGGATCAGTGTGTGACGGCCGCAAACACCTGCCAGCAAGCACTGCCTCAGAACACTTACTCTGGCCCACTTTTCATCTGCGCCACTTCCCGGGCAGACACAAATGTTGGTCTTCTGGCGACTTCCTTTTGGGTCTTGGAAATGATGTTTGTCTGCATCATCCCTTTAGACAGAAAAAAAGAAAACCAACAAGAATTAAGGGTTAGTCCTAGAAAATGATTTATTGTTATTTTTCAGAGGCTAGTAAAACAGCAAATATTCATGTCTGACCAGTCTATGTATAAATAGAGGAAAGACTTTTGGATGGAAATTGCTCATGATAAAAATTTGTAAACTTCACTGCCCTTTTTATAAGACCCAGAAAACAAAGATGTAAATAGCATTTAGCAATGAATCTAATCTTAGCAATAAATCTGGTGTAAAGAAGAGAGCTAGGGTAGCCAGATAACAAGACATCATCCATGTGAGCTGCCCTAAACCAGGCATTAATGATTACATATCACTAGAGGCCTGGTGCATGAAATTCGTGCACTGGGGAGTGGGGGGGGGGTGATGGGGGTGGTGGTGGTGGTTCTCTTAGCCCAGCCTGTGCCCTCTCACAGTTCGGGACCCCTTGTGGGATATAGCAGTGCACCAAGCAGCAGGTGGTCACGGAGGAGCTGGCCTGGTTGCCCCCAACTACCCGCCCTGCCGGCCTGGTTGCCCCTAACTGCACTCCCACCAGCCTGGTTTACCCACACAGTCTGCTGTTGAGTCGTTTGGTCGTTCCCCACTAACCCCCCTGCCAGCCTGGTCGTAGGCAGCCATCTTGTAAGGGTGTGAGGGTTAATTTGCATATTACCTCTTTATTATGTAGGATTACATGACATAATTATATATTTTGAACGTTTTTTTCTACATGAAGTATGAAATGCCATTTTCAATTCATGCATGCTGTAGACCTAGATCCAAGCTTTAACCAGAGTGATTGCCTTGAAGAGGAAATCCTTGTATATATTGCTACAATGATTTCCTTTTTTTACAAACATGCACTGCCTATGTGATACAGCAATCCCACTCCTTGGTATTCACCCAATTCACAAAGACTTGCAGTTAAATGTTCCCAGTAGCCACCCAAATATCCATCCAGAGGTGAATGGATAAACACACCATGATAGATCCTGACCATGGAATATTACTCAGCAACAAAAAGGGAAGAACTATGATACATGCAACAACATAGCTAAATCTAAAGGACATCGCTGAGAGTGAAAGAAGCCAGCTGTAGACACAGCACACACTAAAAGACTCTCTTGATAGGAAGTTCCAGAATAGATCAAACAAATCGATAGTGACAGAAAGCAAAGCCGCTGGAGGCAGGGGAAGATTCATGGTAAAAAGACATGAGGAAACCTCTTCGATTGTTGACGCTGTTCTCTATCTTGATGAGGAGAGAAGTTGCGTGCACTTGCCAACATTCATCCAATGGCACGCTCAAAATGCATGCACATCATTGTAGCAATTATGACTCAGTATAGTTGAAGTAAGGTGAAACAAACATACACAACAACAAAAGAGCAAACAGGGCAAATCGGATCACGTCACAACCTTCTCCTGATTTCCGGCTCATAAAACATCCAAGTGTCTGTGCCTGCTCTCGTCTCTCACAGACCTTCTTGCTGTTCTCTGAAACCTCAGGCTTGCCTACAGCTGACAGCTGAAGTGCTGGTCTTCCCTCTCCTGGTGGGCTGCACCCCCCCTTTCAACGTTTCCTCCTCCCATAAAAGCAGGCGCATCCCAAGACTCCCCCATTCTCTCGCTGCTTCACCACATAGCTTCTTTTCCCCGTGGCTGTGAGCACTTTCTGAAAATGCCTGGTTTGCCCACGGCTACAACAGTGCCTGGCACGCAGCTGACGCTCCAATATTCAGTTCATGAATGAGAGAATGTAAGAATGAGAAATAAGAGAAAAGGAGTCCGGACCCTGTAAACTGCTCTGAACTGCTTTCTCTGTTGCAAGTGATCAAGATTACTGATCAAATTGCTCCAGACGGAGGAACCTGGAACACTGGTTTTCTTCTCTCCACCAACTTTTACAGACTCTAAATGATAGTCTACCAACCAAGGGGGGGGAAATGTTTAAGCCATTTTTCATTTCATCATCCAACAGAAGAGAATTTTATTTATCTCTATTGCCTTCTAGTCTTGGTCCCATTACATACATTGCTGCACTAGCATGCACGTTACATTTTTAAATCTTTCCCGTTTTTGTACTACTATTTGTAATACTTTAAACAATAAAAATTAAATAAAAAATAAAAATCTCTTCCATTTTAGATCTTCAGCATACAAATAGAAAAGTGCAGAAACAGAAATTGGGGGTCCTGCCTTTTTCATTTAACAATTTCAATTTTTGCTTTTACTACAGTTGTTTTTTTTTTCAGTTTTATTAAGGCTCCTGACCCCAGGGCAGAGAGCAGTGAGTTCTTTTTTTTTTTTTTTTATTGATTTTTTACAGAGAGGAAGGGAGAGAGATAGAGAGTCAGAAACATCGATGAGAGAGAAAGATTGATCAGCCGCCTCCTGCACATCCCCCAGATGGGATGTGCCCGCAACCCAGGTACATGCCTTGAACGGAATCGAACCTGGGACCTCTCAGTCGCAGGCCGACGCTCTATCCACTGAGCCAAACCGGTTTCGGCACTACAGTTTTCATAATCAGAATTTTAACAAGTACCCAATACTCCACTAAAATGTAATGCCTCAATTTGTTGAGTCATGTCCTGTTTTAGTTCTTTAGATAAGGCTGCAATAAAGACCTTCTTGCCTACAGCTTTTTATTTTTCTTCCAATGAATTATTTCCTTAGAAAAATTCCTGAGTGCTCATTTCAGCAGCACACATACAAAAATTAGAACAATACAGAAAAGATTAGCATGCTCTGTGCAAGGATGACACAGACATTCGTGAAGTGCTTTATATTAAAAAAAGAAAGAGCCCGGCCAGTGTGGCTCAGTGGTTGAGCATCAACCCATGAATCACAAGGTCACAGTTTGATTCCCAGTCAGGGCACATGCCCGGGTTGTGGGCTGGATCCTCACTGGGGGAGGGGGTCAGCATGCAGGAGGCAGCCAATCAATGATTCTCTCTCATCACTGATGTGTCTATCTCTCTCTCCCTCTCCCTTCCTCTCTCTCTCTAAAAATCAATAGGAATATTTAAAAATAAAGAAAGAAATATTCCTGAGAAGATAAAAAGCCAAGCACATTTTACTATTCCTTGATATGTATTGCCAGGTTGCTTTTCAAAAATCCTATATAATAAAAGGCTGATATACAAATTGACCAAACTGCGGACAACTGGTCGCTATGACGTGCACTGACCACCAGGATGAAGACACTCAGTGTAGGAGCACCATTCAGCCAGAAGGCGGGCTCACAGCTGGCGAGTTCAGTGGCGGTGGCGGGAGTCTTTCTCGCCGCTGCGACAGCGCTAAGGATGTCCAACTGATGGCTTAGTGGGACATCCTCAGTGCTCAGGCAGTGGGCCTCAGTCGGACAACCCCCAAGGGCTCCCGGACTGCGAGAGGGCACAGGCTGGGCTGAGGGACCGTGCGTGCCACCCCCCACCCCGCCCCAGCCATGCATGAATTTCGTGCACCAGGCCTCTAGTGTTGGTATAATAGGTCTTTCAAAGCTACACTAGTAATAAGTACAGAGTCCAAATCTCAGGTACCATCTGGGCATTTTGAGGACTTGAGCAAGTCTCCTTTACCTCTTACAGGGCACCTGCAGGGCAGGTCCTGAAAGACCAAGAATGTAATCATCTGCAGGGACTGTCCCAAGGGTGCAGCTAAGGGCCCACACATTCAGAGGGAGGGCAGTGCTGCCCTGATTTCTTACTAAACACACAGACAGAGGGGTAGAAGCTGACCATGGTGGCTGAGATAAACACAGCAAAACGCAGATCTTTTTTTTTTTTTTTTAAATATATTTTTATTGATTTTTTTACAGAGAGGAAGGTAGAGAGATAGAGAGTTAGAAACATCGATCAGCTGCCTCCTGCACATCTCCTACTGGGAATGTGCCCGCAACCCAGGTACATGCCCTTGACCGGAATCGAACCCGGGACCTCTCAGTCCGCAGGCCGACGCTCTATCCACTGAGCCAAACCGGTTTCAGCAAAACGCAGATCTTTAGAAAACATGATGGATGAAACCGAACAGTGACCTAGAGGATGACGCCTGAGAGGATCAGCAAGGTTCTACTACCCTGAAGGCACCCACAGGCCCAGGGTCTCCACTGTCATCAGCACCTGAAAATTATGCCTCAGCTGGGAAGCAGCATGCCCAGAATCTGAAACTTAGAATGGTGACGCTGGGAGTAACCCCCAGAAACCACTTAGCCCAAGGCCTCCATTTGACAGATGAGAGAACTGAGGCCGAGAGAGGCCAAGGGCTGCTCCTGGGGTTACATAGCTACTGTATGTCAGAGCCAAGACTAGCGCATGGGTCTTTTGATGGCCACTGGCTTCCACACCCCACACTGTTGGTCTTGCTAAAAAGAACCCTGAACCCACATCCTCTCGACTGCCCTCTGCATGTCCACTCATGCCCATTCCAGCGACGGGCACCACTGCCAAATGCAGACTCTTACCTTGGAAACTCAACTCGAAGTTCTCAGAACCCGCCTGAAATGGCACAATGCCCCTCGGAGAGCAGAGGAAGACAGACTCCAGGTATGAGGAATCGATGCTCGAAATTTGCCGACTGTCGCCCTAATTAAAAAAAAAAAAAAGTAAAGACTTTTAAGTAATGGTAGGCTTTTAAGTAATCTCTACCACTGTATCTTACGTAATTTTATTTTAGCCCTGGGATTCAAAGAGGGATTATCTTGCCTCCCAGACGAGACCATAAAGGCTCCCATTTTATAGTTTCCTCCATCCCAGGACCAGGAGAGAACAGTCTACACCTGGGGTCCTCAAACTACGGCCTGCGGGCCACATGCAAATACAAATATTGTATTTGTTCCCGTTTTGTTTTTTTACTTCAAAATAAGATAAGGGCAGTGTGCATAGGAATTTATTCATAGGTTTTTTTTTAAACTATAGTCCGGCCCTCCAACAGTCTGAGGGACTGTGAACTGGCCCCCTGTTTAAAAAGTTTGAGGACCCCTGGTCTACACTGTAGGAACTATACTTGGTGGATGCTGGAAAAAATATAGCTCTTCGCAACAATCTTTTTTTAAGTATATTTTTATTTCAGAGAAGAAGGAAGAGGGAGAGAGAGATTGAAACATCAGTGATGAGAGAGAATCATTGATTGGCTGTCTCTTACACGCCCCACACAGGGGGATTGAGCCTGCAACCCAGGCATGTGCCCTTGACTGGAATTGAACCTGGGACCCTCCAGTCGGCAGGCCAATGCTCTTCTATCCACTGAGCCAAACCACTAGGGCTGCAATAATCTTTTTACACCTTCCATAAAGTATGACCCAAGTGTACCGAGCAACTCAGACCCACCGTATGGACATCGTGACTGCCCTGATCACAGAACCCAGCACTCTAGCACGAAGGAGACCCTGGTGGCTCTATTAGCCCACCACACGAGAAAGCAGGGCGAGCTGTGGTGAAGGCAGGGAAAGCTCCAGTGGGTGCACTGCTGTCCAAATGTAAATGCCCCGCCCCTCCTCCTCTGCACCGAGCCAGAGTAAGCAAATACAATGGACTACATCTCTACTTAGTCCACAACACTGAAAAGGCACTTGAATTTGCCACTGACAGGGATGATATGAAAGGGACTAGAAGTACCCCTGAAATATCAAGACATACTTCTCAGGCCTCAAGACATTTATGAAGGGTCTGAAATCAGAATGGTGGGTAAAGGGAAGTATGTTGACTCTAGCAAGGGGGCAGGGGTGGCTCCCGTTGCACTGTCCCCATCTCTGGCAGGGGTGGCAGCCCACGGCAGACTGGATGTAAGACTCTATTAGCAGATATTGTACTCATCACTTCTGACTGGTTCTTTCTTGTGGTTTTTATGTCCTTTTTAATGCTTACTGTCTCTTTCAAGTTCTCACTGAGATCACCCACTCTTCCCACCTTTAATCTCTGGAATCCTGATGTCATTAAAATGCAAATATTCCCCAACATTTTTCCCTTAGCTTACTGGAAATTTCAATTATTTGGCATAAGAACCATTGAGACCTATGGTTTATTTTAACCAAAACAAATTAACTTGACTTCATCATTTCTATTTCCACAGGCACCTCACAGAATCACTTTTAAGAAACTGCACTTTGCCCTAGCTGGTTTGGCTCAGTGGATAGCATCGACCTGCAAACTGAAGGGTCCCAGGTTCGATTCTGGTTAAGAGCACATGCCCGGGTTGCAAGCTTGATCCCCAGTAGGGGCGTGCAGGAGGAGCCGATCAATGATTCTCTCTCCTCATTGATGTTTCTCTCTCCCTCTCCCTTCCTCTCTGAAATCAATGAAAATATATTTTTTAAAAAAAGAAGCTGCATGTTGACATCATCTTTGGCTTGATCAGTAGAACCTGTACAAAGCTCAACATCACGGGAGAGTTCACCCCAAGGTGCTCCAGAGGCCAGCACAGCAGAGAGGCGACAAAGGGGTCAAGACACTGAGCTCTGAGCCCCTATCCTATTCCCCAGGGAAGTTCTGTTACTCCGTGTGCTTGCTGGGGTTCCGGGAAAGGTTGTTTGCTAACCTGTACGGAGACTAGGACAGCTGGGAAGCCATGGGCTACGGGAGTGACTTGCGGAGAACCTCTCGCCACAGCACCCACGGTCCCTTCTACCCGGCCCCGTGGCAGATGTTTTTCTCAGGCCCCATTAACAGAAAAAAGTGGTGCTGCTCCTGAGGAACTGGTGTGTTCGTCCCAGGGAGACACAGGGATCCCGTGACAGCTTGCCTCTTTGTTTGCTTTGGCAGCCAGACAGCTCAGGGCCAGATTCACGGCTCATCAACCTCTAACTATGTCGAACCTTACGCTGGTGTTCCTGTGCCCGTTCTGTCTTTGGCTTTAACTTCATCTCTTGCTTTTTTTTTTTTTAATCTCTTTCTCATCATTCTGCTTTCATTGGCTGCATCAGTGTGCTCCCTCTCTCTCTTTCTCTCTTTTTTGAAAAAACATACTTTTATTGATTTCAGAGAGGAAAGGAGAGGGAGAGAGAGATAGAAACATCAGTGATCAGAGAGAATCATCGATCGGCTGTCTTCTGCATGCCCCACACCGGGGATTGAACCCGCAACCCGGGCACGTGCCCTGACTGGGAATCGAACCATGACCTCCTGGTTCATAGGTCAATGCTCAACCACTGAGCCACGTCAGCCGGACTCTCTTTCTCTCTTTTTAATCCTATGAATCAAGGATTCTTCCTTCAAGAGGAAGGAACACGAGAGAGAAGCTCTGCTTCTCTAAATGTTTACCCCAATTGGCATGTCCCTATGTGGGCACGCCTCAAATGCTCCAGGTCCACCCTCTCAAGTCCCCCTGAATTCAGACAGGGAACCTTAGCGACCCTCTGTGTCAGCCTGCTGATCCTTCAGTCTCCCTGTCTTCTGACGGGAAGCCGTGATCTGTGCAGTTATGCACTAATACATAGAAAGCTATCAAAGGTCCCAGCCCAGTCCTTGGTAGTGAGGGTAGAGGGCCATGCAGCGGACTCACATCTCAAGCGATTTCTTAAAAATAATGTGTGTCTTTGTTTATAATTGCAATCACAGCACATGCCTGCGAAAACAATGCCAATACAGCTGTGTGTACTGTGAAAAGCACCACGTCCTCCACCACACCCACTCTCCATCGGTGACCATGGAGGCGTCAAACATGTTAGTTATGGTTCTCTCCTGGAGTTGGCAAGTTTAAACACGCGCCTCCAGGGGGAAAACGGAACTCACCTTCTCCCCGTACGGAACCCATCTGTGACTTCTAGTCTTCCAATACCAAATCCATTTAGTGGTGAAGACAGAATTATCCGGCAGTGTGACGGACGACGGCGTGGAGATGCGTCGGATGGGATCAGAACCACAAGTCATTTTCTGGAAATTGATTTTTAAATTTCCGAAAGGAATGCTGACGAGGGGGGAAAGTTTAAAGTTAATCAAAATGCTTCACTGCCCTCTGTTTTCTACAATCCGGTCTTCCCTAACAAGAGCACAGAACTGATATTTTAGAGCTGAAAGGCACCTTCGGGTGTTCTTGGTACACCTGCCGGTCTTACCACATAAAAGAAACAGCTAAACACAGAGAGGTAATGCCACTTGCCTACCCCACATGTTCAATGGTATCACAAAATGCATTCTTTCCTCAAAAACTCTCCCACATAAGACGGTTCAGGGTTAGAAAGTGAGTTAGAAACTCACAGTAGGTCAGTTTTTTCAATTGTTTATCAAAAGACCTCTTCACAGGTAATAATAGGTTCATAATATTAAGACATTATGTGCCTTTTTCACATACGTACACTCACAGGTGCACAGCAGAGTTTTCAAGAGGCCACATTATGTGTGATTTCAAAACAGATTTCCAAAAATATAAAACAATGTCATTCTTCTCAATAAATTTTCGTTTTGGAAAACGGTTATTTTTAGTTATACATATCTACAGCTATAATTATGTGCACAAAACTGTATAATTATGTAAATGTAGTTAAATAGTATTCATATTAACATGTAATGAATTTACTTTTAAATGCATCAATAATTTGTCTCAGTTTTGATTTTTACTACGATAAATGTGGATAGCTATAATACATATAATCAGAAGCTCTTTGGGATCCTCTATACATTTTAAGACTGTAGAGAGGTAGGTCCTGAGACTAAAAGGCTTGAGAATTATTGCTCCAAGAAGCACCTCCTTAATCAGTGGTTGTCAACCAGGAATGATTTTGTCCCCAGGGGGGCATTTGCAATGTATATAGACATTTCGGTTATCACAACTGACATCTAGTGGTTAAAGGCCAGCAATGCTGCTACACCAACCCCTTCCAAAAAATTATTAATTATTATTATTATTATTATTTTCTGGCCCAAAAGTAAATAGTGCTAAGGTTAAGAAACTCTACTTCAAATTTATCTGGGGAGGGGGGGAAATTCATCTACAAAGAAAATAGCTGATGTCGCCCTCTAGTGGCCAAATGCAGCAGCAGAATCTCCACCAAAAATTCACTGAACTTGCAGATGATGAAATGTATGAGATTTGTTTCCCCCCACAAGGAATTTCCTTATTAAACTAGGATGCATCTTATAAATATTGTCATATGTGGTATCACCTATTTCAGCCCTGACAGAATCAGAGATATCAGGGTCTAGGAGAAAGAAAACAGAAAACAAAAAGGAAGTTATAAAATGCTAAAAAGTTACAACAAAATTCTGCACTGGAACTATATGAAATTGCTCAAATCATATTCTAAAACTGTGAAAGTAAGCCAAAGGCTCTTTTGAGGTAATCATTTAGTACTTTTACTAGTTCTTTCATAAGCTGGTAGACATATAAACCGGCCTCTGCATGGTGTTTATTTGCACGACACAATGACAAATATTAACTAAACTAATAATCGGGTCCCTGTTTACTTTGCGTGAGTCAGCAAATATTCTCAGAATCCCTGGCATTATCCAGGCTCTGCGTGACTTCAAATCCACTCTTTTTTTTTTTTCCTTAACTCAGTAGGCGTTTGCTGTTTTTATCTAAAACTAAACGGGGCTCTGAAGGGAAATTGTGTCTTCTTCCCATCAGCCTAACACTATGCTTTCCTTTGATGATATTGTGAATCTCATAAGCCAGAGTCCAGCCACCAACTTACATGCAGATTTGGGGGTCACAATAGGCCTTCTCAATACTCTCCATGGGCTGGAGGTCCACCCAGGTGTTGGCATTCATCACCTGCCACCGGTAAGGCAGGCGGAAATGAACCTTGTTGCAGTCTTCTACAAAGACAGAGAGGAGGGCTCAGTGGGACTGTAACCAATTCAACTAAGGCCACTGCCGACGTTCCCATCGAGGCCTGCCTTTCCCACACAGCCAGGACCGCATGCAGGCACATGCTGTCTCCACCTTTGCTCATGCTGGCTGCTGCCTGCACTGCCCCATAACCTTATGTCCAGGTTCCTTTATCACCCACAGAGACTCATCAGAAAACAATAATTCTCCTCCCCAAAAAGTCCCTTTACCCACATGAAGATCTGAGGTCATTCTAAATGTACAGTTACCCTTTGTATCTCTCCCTCTCCCTTCCTTTCTGAAATATATATATATATATTTAAAAAATCTACGTTATCTGTATTTTATGACAATACTCCCTCTCCCTTCCTTTCTGAAATAAATATATACATATATTTTTTAAAAATCTACGTTATATGTATTTTATGACAATGAAAAAGAAAAATTTAAGTTAAAGACTTCTGATTTAGAGAGCACAGGGCAGAATCCTCCTCTTCAAAGGTAAAAAACCAAGTGACCAAGCAAACGAAATCAGACATGATGTCCAAGCCTGGGACAGAGGAAAGAAGGGAAGAAGAGATATAAAAGTGAGAGGACAGGAATTTGTCCCCAGCACAGTCTCATGGGAATAATTTCTATGGGAAGCCTGATGGGAGGGGACAGTGACCAGGTGTGGCTCTTCAGCTGGAATGACCAACAGATGACTGGGCCTGTGGAGCACAGGTGTCTTTAGTATGCATGGCCACAAGAGAGACAATAAATATATATATAAGACGCTAACATGCAAAGTGTCCCCTCCGGAGTTCAACTGGGAGATCGGGAGTTCAATTGCTCACTATGACATGCGCTGACCACCAGGGGACAGTGCGGAACGAAGGAAGGCCCGGGCCAGCAGCCAGAAGGCCCCAATCGACCCTGATAGCTGGCCAGGCCTTAGGGACCCTACCCATGCACGAATTTTGTGCACCGGGCCTCTAGTGCTAAATAATGACAGGAAATGAACTTTGAAAAGGGTGCCTGCTAGGATTCCTTTGTTTTTTGAATTTTTTGTTTGTTTGCTTGTTTTTAGTACATGAAAAGATAGGTCCCTGAATGAGCATAATATTTCACCTAAAACTGAATTGCAAAAGAAGAAAGTATAATAGCATGCACTGGTGAAGAACACAGGCAGGCTGGGCAGTTTAGGGTCAAAATCCAACCTGCCTACTTGTACATATAAAGTCATAACATCTGCATGCCTCCAGGTTCCCCATCTGTAAAATGGGTTAGCAAGAGAACCTATTTGTAGGGTTGGTGTAAAGTTTAAAGAAGATGCATGTAATGTTCTTAGCATTGTGCCTCACACATAGTAAATGTTAGCCATGCCACAATTAACAGTTTCTACTTTTAGAAAGACCTTAAGTTACTCACTATATAGACAACTGTTATTCAGATGGTCAAGACAAATTTCCTTTGAACCAGGATCATCCATGGTATTCGTGACGTTGGATACAGAATCTGTAAAACAGAAGAGGAGGCATGTATGCTAATCTTAATTTTAAACCAAAAATCAAGGCACCGGATCTCACAGTGGGAGAGAATATCCCAAACTGGGCCATGGTCAAGAAAATTCCTGATTGATGTGTTGCTCATCACAAGCCCTCCATAAAAACAAACGTGAACATTAGGGTCATATGACAGTGATGTCGACTTCTTAAACCATGGTCCAACTATTCCTGTTCTCAATATACGGAGCGGTTTATTCCATACTCTTCTACTGGTAGGTCCTTCCACCTTCTAAGTCAGTCTCCTTACCAGTACCACCCCTTAACTCAAACCCTCTACAACTCGATGCCCTTTAATAGCTGCTGGGGACCATCCTAAGCGAAACTGCCAGCCACAGGGGCTCTGCTGCCGACACGACATGGGGCCCCTTTTGTCCTTTAGTGACTTACTCAGCGCACGGCCGGGTGTCCTCCTGGCAAGCTCGCTGGCAGAGGTGACAGGCATTTGAGCAGAGTTCTGAACATGGGCCGCAGCGGCTGTAGCTCTATTGTTTGAGGAAGGCGTCGAAGGTGGTACTTTGGGCACAGTGCTCACTAAGGTGTGGGCAGTGGTCTCCCCCAGTGTGCGCAGGGCCTGGGGTCTCAGATTCTGACTTGCAGAGCCTAACACATCTTTATCTACCCTGGCTCTAACTGCCGATGTTAAGTCAAAATCAGTGGCATCAGTAGATTCAAATGTAACTTTCGTCGAGCCATTTGCTGTGTTGTGGAAAAATACCTGCTCCCTGTGTTTACCGTCATCTACAATGATGGGGTCCAGAGTAGGGTGAGTGGTTCTGATTTCCTGATTCCTAGGTAATGAATTTTCTCTCTGCCTACTGGTTGCGGTTTTGTAATTTAAAGATCTCGTGGACGTGGTATCTGTGGCCATCCCATCCAAATTATTATTAGAAAGTGGGAAATGCTGGGCTTCTGGATTCCCGCTTCTGCCCTCGATATTCACGTGGCCCGGGGACAGCATGCCCACACCTTTTCTGGTGGTCACGGTGTCAGGTGTTTGCAGAGAACCAAGAGGAGAATATGAGGCAGCCTGACTCGGAGAAAACAAATTCTCTCTACTGGTGGCTTGGTCACTCGGCCAGGATGTGGGCACCTTCTGGTTGAAAGTGGGTGTCAAATCAGAAGCGAGGTGACTGCTGGCTGTACTGTCATAGAAGAGGTCCTCTAGATGGCCATTCTCTGAAAACCTCTGGGTTCCTCCCACTGGTCTGCTTCCTCCCAGACTGGTGGCCTTGGGTGAGGCTGAGGAAGGCTGAGGGCCATCTTGACTTCCCAAACGCTTGAACTTGCAGGTGAGATCCTCTACAGGCACATCATCCCCAGGAGACCTGCGGCCGATCTGATCTGCACTGGGTGTGCTGGGTCTCTCAGTTGAAGCTGGGGCGGATGGAAGGAACTCCTGACTGGCCAGAAAGAACCGATCTCTACTCTTGCTTCTACCTCTCGCTGCTGGGTCCCGGTTACGTGAAGGACCTAGGAAAGGACAAAAACAATGAGAAGTAGCGTTAAAATGATTGAGTTCTTTTTAAAATATATATATATGTTTCTATTGATTTTAGAGAGAGAGAGGGAGAGAGGGATAGAGAGAGAGAAATATCAATGAGAGAGACATTGATCAGCGGCCTCCTGCATGCCCCCACTGGGGATTGAGCTTGCAATCTGGGCAATGTGCCCTGGCCGGGAATGGGACTGATCACCTTATGGCTCACGTTCAACTTTCAACCATTGAGCCTTATCAACTGGGAAACATGATGGAGTTCTGACCACCCTTCCTCTCAGCCTTCCCAGGTTTGCTATCCATGTCCTATCAAATAACTTATCCTAATGTGGTGTGTAAAATCCTGAGAAGGGCATTCATGGCGATGAAGGCATCCTGCCATTCCATTCACAGCGGAAAACACCAGGCCGCCAACGAGAAGGGTCAGGCTGGCCCTGGCTCTGTTAGCTTCACTCCTGGGACTCAGATGTAGCTCCCAAGTCCCCAAACGCGTAGGTGGGGCTATCCACCACTGAGAGGGTGAATGGAGAGGCAGATTCGCGCAAATTAGGCAGGATTTTCCAAAAATCATCTAGATTTTGCTCATATTGTGATGTGGATGTACCTAATAAGTTAAGAATTCATAAAACTTAAACCAAAAAAAAAAAATGAAATGACAGTGTAAAGGTCTAAATTCACTTAAACTAGAAAGTTTCCCAAAGTTCTTCAACTTGCCCCCTCCCACCCCACCCAATACCCAAACTTAAGTGAGCAATATCAAAAAGAATTGGTGTCTCTACAACCTTGAGTCACACCCCTGGGAAGCAGATAGGAGGAAGTGTATGACACTCATGTGTTTGTGAGTATATGTGAAGTGTGTGCATGTGGTATGTATGTGTGGTGTGTGCAGTGTGCATGAGTGTTTATGTGTGTGAGTTGTGCTATTGTGTGTGCAGAAGGTTTTTTCTCTTCCAAACCAGAGGGCAGCAGGGACATAATAAAAGCAAACATCCTCCTCCTGTCAACAAAGTAGTTACTTAAGTAGATTAACTGGAAGCGATAATAAAGATCTCTCTCGCATACAGTAAGTTCATATTGGCATAGACACAGAGAATACACTGGTGATTGCCAGAGGGCAGGGGGTTGGGGGACTGGGTAAAAAGGTGAAGGGACTGAGAAGTACAGATTGGTAGGTACAAAATAGTCAAAGGGGTGTAAGGTCGGCATAGGGAATACAGTCAATAATCTATACTAATAGAAGGGTAATATGTTAATTAGATCGGATAGACCAGACATCCTTCCGGACAAAGCCGCAGTGGCTGTGAGGGCCGCGAGGGCCAACAGTGGCAGCAGGAGGGGAGTGATGGGGGCAGTGCCTTACCCTGATCAGCCTGGTAGCCTCCTGCAGACGGAAGCAGGCCTAAGCCATCAGTAGGACATCCCCTGAGGGCTCCCGGACTGTGAGAGGGGGCAGGCCAGGCTGAGGGACCCCCCCACCGCCACCAGTGCATGAATTTTCATGCACCGGGCCTCTAGTATTTTAATAACTATGTATGATGCCAGGTAGGTACTAGAAATAGGGGGTAATACTTTGTAAAGGATATGATTGTCTAATCACATGCTGTACACTTGAAACATACAAAATAATATTTTTAAATAAATAACCCTGGCCGGTGTGGCTCAGTTGGTTGAGTGCCGTCCCATACACCAAGAGATCAGA